CAACGATTGTCTGATTTCACTTTGACAACTGCACATGGATCCCGCATAACGCGATGGTTGTTAGTGAGAGAGAGAGTCGTTAAAACATGCAAATACTATGCTAAGAAAACCTTAACGTTAATGAATGATTATACTCAATATTGTTCACGCAGTACCGCACTCCTTATTGATCATACGCAACCCTTATCACGTTGTTAACACCTTGGGTCACGGGACAGTTGAATATTCTGTAGAGGATGCGAGTACGTGCGGCGATTATGACTGAAGGATACTTGAAAGATTATACGGCGATAAAAAAAAAACACAATCAAAACAGTTACTATTCTTAAAGGCACCAATCTCAACAGATACATCGGCAGGTTATCTGACAGCAGAACGGCTCGGAGTAAGGGCCTGCGACGGTGCTCCTTTTCCGAAGATCGTTATCTTATACCAAGTTTACTAATTGGGGACCAGATCACCTGATAAGGATCCGGTGGGCCACCACTCCCCACGTGAGCGTGGCTCGGCGGAAGGAGGTGCCAAGAATCAGTTCGTATTGATGGATCTGTTGGGAATTTATGCGATTAAGAGTACAGCCCACTAAATATTAAAGATAAAAATTAAGAATACTCTTATACGACGGAGGCCACCACTCGGTCTCGTTGTGATGCCTTCCCAGCCACGGATGACTTATGGGTTCGAGGGTGTTTGAGTGGTAAGAGTTGTCTTGAATAGTCAGTGTTCGGAGTCGATTCTTTATGTCAAACAGACGCCTGGTGGTCGTGTGGTGAGGGGGCGGTGCGCGTCATACGTATCAGGCGCTCCCCTGTCACCGTGGTGAATTGGCTCGGATGGCTGTTGATACGCTGTCGCAGTTCGGAACCCGGTCGGTAGGTGGCGCCCACAACTCGCTCGTAGCGTGCAGCGCTGGATCGTCGCCAAGTCGCGACGCTCACCACCGGCGGCAGCGGAGATCTCCGGCGGCAGCAGAGATTGACGAGCTGAAGATGAGTCGAGCCGACCCGCTGGTCGCAGCTCGCTCCTGAGTCGACCCTCCCGGTCGAGCTCGCTCCTGGGTCGGCCCGCTGGTCGCCCTCGCTCCTGAGTCGACTCTCTGGTCGCACTCCTGAGTGGACCCGCTCTGGTCGCACTCGTTCCTGAGTCGACCCTCCCGGTCGAGCTTCTGAGTGGACCCTCCCGTCGCACTCCTGCTGAGTCGACCCTCCCGGTCGAGCTTCTGAGTGGACCCTCCCGTCGCACTGGTTTCCAATGTTCAGGATCCGTTCCTTTATGCTGAAAAATCCCCCTGGATCCCGCCCACAAGGCGGGGCTTCCGATTTTTGCTGTGTCAGGATCTGTCCGTAGGCAGGTGTGTCCATGTGTGTGTCCGTATGTCCTTGTGTGCATCACTGACGGTATATTCCGTTGTCAACTCCCTCCATAAAACCCACGAGCAAACAACCAGATGTTACAAATTGTCTCGAAGTCGTCTCTCTGTCTGGGTGCAATTTATCTCTTGTCTGGCCTTCTTCATGAACCCAAAACACAGACGTTACAAATCGTCTCATAGGCGTCTTTGTTCGTGTTGCACAACCTGGAGGGGGGGCAACACTCTCTCCGACCCGGCGCACAAAGAAATGGTTAAAAGTTTTAAGTTAACATTTGTCCCTTACTATTTCACAGTTATGATTCTGTATGTAACCTAAGGTCTGTCGTTTCCCATCGTGGTTCCCGACCCAAGTGTAGGTGTTTCCCCGAGCGTACACACACTCCTATCCCGCGCTGCGGGGATACAAAGACGGCCGGGATCTCCCTTTCTCTCCGACCCTGGGTTTAACATTGTTTTTTTTTATTATGTATTTATATTCGACCTGGTGGTGATTCATCCCGTTATCCTGGCTTTTCCATAAGTTTTACTTTTGTCTTTTCATGCATATACTTATTACTATTAATTTATTCCCGATATCTTAGGTTAAGGGGTAAGTTTCTTGATCCTAGGAATTCGTATTCCTCGGTGCCTGGATGGTTATATAAGCGGAATATAGTTTACGGTGAATAGCGTTAACATTGATGTTATGTGCGATATTATGTATTGTGATGTCTTTAACTTAACTTGTTTGTCAGGGCTTTACTGACACGAAGTTGCATTCCATAGCCCGCAGTCTTTGCCCCACCCTATCTCTGCTCGCCGTTGTTGTTGCCTGCCGTTAATTCAAGGCCTCATTAATTTCCGTCACCCCTGAGTAGGTGAGGGCGGTTGAACCTTGGAGTCAGTTCTGGTTTTTGTCTGCCTGCTTCTTCTTGTGTCCCCTGACCCCGGGAGTTATTATTCTACTTTATGGCCTGTCGAAGCCCCACTCGCTGTTGCTGGGCTGGTGTTGTTCCCGGCTTTTTGCTTACGTTTGCAGTTCGCCGTGCTCTTGATTTCCTTCCCTCTTCAACCTTATATTGACTATTCGCTCCTGTCTGGGTGCGATTCAATTTTGACTTAGGAAGGTTCTGATTGTCATATGCTTCGGGTCGAATTGTATAGAAAGTATTGAAGTATGGAAATAACATTTCATATTGACTTAATAATGGTGATGGTTCAGTAGGCGTAACTTGTGGCCTGGTTTAATTGAAGTGGGTGTGAATATCGATAACTTTAGCCTACCCTGTTGTTAAATTCCGACTTTAACGTTACTTTAATAGCAATACAGAATAATTGAGCTTTTTGTCTTAACTAGGCGAATGCGAACTTCTGGTGACCCCGCAGCCTTGTTGTTCAGCTGGGTCTGCCTCCTTGAGAGATATACACCACTCTTATTCTCGTCTCACTGTGGTCATCCAACCTTCTGCTCTGGGAGTGTTATTCTTACTTTCAGGTCAAAGGCCCCCTCACATCCAGACGCGCAGGGTTGTTTACATCAGCTCCCCCCCTGTGCACGTGTTCTAACTAGCTCGGAATTCCTGAACACACAATCAGTGATGATTCCTGGCTTTCTGTGGTTGTGATTTAGACAAAGGCGCCTCTGTTTTCTTCCATTGCCTTTGAGTCGACACTGCCCTATTATTTGCCCATGTGCTGAGGTCATAGAATTCGTTTTGACTTCAGTAATATTAACATTCAGTATTGGATTAGCAAATGGGCAATGGTTCATTGATGTAGCTCGCAGCCTGGTCTCCAGTTTGAGCGAGCGCGAGGATCGATAATTTAGCCTACTCTGTTGTTGAATTTCGAATTTTGACGTTACTTTAAAACCATGCAGGATGATTGGCTTTTGCCTTAACTATGTCTGGCTGACACTCCCACTGTCTCTGCCGCCTGCACGGGTGACATGTGCCCGTTCATCAGGCCTTATCTTCCCTTGAAGCAACGTTGTAAATTCTGCCATCCTAGCCCTCCTCCGGTTCATTACTTAACAACACCTGGTGTTTTGCAGTTTGCTGCGCTTGGTGTGTTTCACTCATTAAAAAAACAAGTAAAAAGATAATATATAAAAATCATCAAATATTATTAATCTCAATTATGGAAGAAGGGTTAGTATACAACACTATGAGCCTATTTTCAAGCTGGGGGGAGGAATGGACCATAACTAGATGATTAGCAGCCAATCTGTCTAATCCCAATGGAGTTGTAAACAGACCCAGGAACACACACACTAACACTGGATCATATCTGCTCCACGAAGAGAGCAAAAACAGCTGAAGTGGGCAATCGACGTCACTGGCTTGCTCAATGATTTGCCCAAGGCAGCTGGATATGTATTAGTTCTGCATGAAGCAATGTTTTTCTTGTAAATCCGGAAACTTAGATATTGCTGCTGAATTTTGTCTGTCAATGTAGAGGCTTGTTTCTTATCTGGCAAGACCAAGTTTCATGGTTGTCATATTCACTAGACTCAAACAACATAATAACGGTAGTTATCTCCATTATCAGCACTTAGCTGGAAAAGGAAATTATTCCTATGGTGTGGGCTAGTCTCTACATAAGACGACTCATTTTATTAATCGGAGTGGTAATTGGCTTGAATCAGTTCAAAACCAGAATTTGAACTCACAACCATACGATCGAGCCAAACCATGCAGTTGTGGAACTATACTACACCCATGTAGCCGCCTTGACATGTGCATTGCAACAACCAAGGATTTGGCAATAGGTAGAAAAGAGTGTATAAAACAGGAAAGACAGTTTACCACATTCTTACAATTATATATTGTTATCAAGGCTATGTGACTGTCGACTTGACTCATCGACCCTCATATCATATTTAAATCACAGTACTCATTTCTTTCTGTTATATTGCCCTCTACTGGCTAATACATATAATCACACATTACATCAATACCATATCAGATGAATAGAAATGTCTTGCAGAAGTGGTATGTGCACGTAAATATTTGATATAAAACATCTATGCATAAATGATAAATGCAAAGTTATCTCAGTTATTTTCATTCCTGTTCGGTCCTGTAGTTTGCACTGAAACATTGCAAACCATGTTACCCAAGTCATTGCAAAATGGTTTTTCAAAAAGCACATTTACAGGTTTCAAAGGATAGCCGATTTATATTCAACGAGGTGCACGGGCATTAAATTTCAATCCAATGTTACATTGATCCAATCCAGGCTTAGGATACCGTTTGAATGTAGTGCCTAAATAATCGTATCTAAAATTGCAGAGGCAACACAGGTTAAATAAGGTTTCTATATATTTTTTCTGGGGGAGGCAAATATGAAATATAACCTACACCAGCAGCAAATTGTTTATCTTCTCAAAACAGAAATAATGAATGACATGTAACCTGCAGCTTGTTCAAACGGGTAAGACCTTTGGGGGTCACCAGTCAGTGACATGGTTCTTCTTTAAGTCACCAAGACTGCACATCACCTCTATTGGTTGCCCAAACACATGCAAATTGCTAACTCCACTAAATCTGCATTACTTCGTATTATTCTACCGAATTTTTTTTATAACTTTTACACTTATGTTAATTGACAAGGCACACACGAATAGCGATACATTCTGTAAACAATACAGCTTTGAAAATGAATTTTAATATGCGATTTTACAATGAGTAAAATAAAACATTCTGCAAGAAATACAGTATACACAGTAAAACTCTTTAGTCAATCCCTTGTTGAGGAAAGATTTCCCCACACCATGTGGCTTATAGGAGTTGATGGATCATACTTCACCACTCTGGTCAATGCGAATTGAATGTAAAAACTGGTTCAGAGATCACTCGCCAACGTTAGCATGACCAGAAATTAAACCAAGGTTACTGGATTCATAGCACGAACCACTGCACCCGAAAAAATGCAATGTAACATTTGCATTACAATATGAAGCAGCAGTTGAGAACAAAAATGTAGAATTTAAGTAACAAATTGCCACTTAAAAACATTGCAATATATACCAATATAAAGCAGGCACTAGTGAATACTTTTCTGCTCTGCTGTAGAACATTGCATACTGCGGTATAGAAAAAATGGAAAGATAATCAATAACAAACTCTTCAAGCTCTGCAGTTGCTAGAATCACTTAAGACCTCTCCTATTCTGGTGCAGCATGAAACGGCGAGCTCATTAGAGTTCCTCTTGAAGCATGCGAACAATATTCTCGGCAGAGGGACGCTTCTGTGGGTCCTCATCGGTGCATGCTACGAAGAGATCAATGACGCGGGCATAGCTCTCATCCAGCTCCTCCATGTTGAGAGCAGGCCGTGAACCCAGGGCAGCGTAGTACTCTTCATCATCAAAGCTGTCCTCATTGCACTCCTCTGTTGAAAATCCATCACGAAGAATTATAAAAAAATATATCAACTGTGGTTTACATTTTCGTGGTCGTGCTGAATAGTTCCCCAAGTGCTTTCAGAAGCCCCCAGCACTTGGAGCTAAAAGCCGGACATCAAGCGTAACAAGCTGTACAAACTTAAATTATATCGGCAAGCGAGCTCAAATGGCTGTCTGATATTACGATTAAAATTACGAGGGCAGTAAGTTTACATTCACACAGGTGATTATAGAACAACTTAGTTTTTACAAAGATGTGGCATGAGTAATGCAAGTTGGATTGAATGGTACGTAAGTTAATGCGTGGATGCACATGATATAGCACTTCCAACTTAGATGAGCATGAGTTAGTTCATTAAAAAAAACACATTTTACCACAATAAAGTGAAAGGAATTGAAATCATTTAAACCGTTCACCAGGATTAAGGTGGATACAAATCTTCAGCATAATGCACACATTGCAAGGTGGAGGTCAGCAGTATTTTACAAATTATCAAGTGGAAACTGACATGACATTATTAAAACATCATTAGCTCCAATAACACAAATTTTCCTAAGTATACATTGCACACAAAACACTGATACCCAGCAGAATATCCTTACCTTCGCTGTCCTCATCAGGGATGACTACATGTGGAATCTGCAGGCTCATCATTTCCCACAGAGTGAGGCCATAAGCAAAGATGTCAGCTCTGTCTGTGATGACACCATCTTTTAGAGCCTCCTTTGGCTTCCAGGGCTCAGTACCAATATAAGCGTCTTCCTTGTTTTTCACTGATCAAACAGACATGTTCTTAACAATGCAATTGCAATACAACTTTGATGTTGCAGAGCAGTCATACCAATGTAGGAATATTGAAATCCTTAGGAATGTTCAGCTGCCCCTATAAGCCTGCACCCGACAATGCATTCCACTACTATTTAGCTCAGGAATATCCTTAAATGATTCTACACTTCATTACAAAAGCATGTTACCATAATGTGTCTAACAGAACCTAACAAATAATTATTGGATTTGATTATAGTTTTAATTAACTTGTGTGGTCTGCATACAGCCAACATTTAACTAAATTGAATTATCCAAAGGGACCTTTGGCACAACTACTAATTTCGTACAATTATTATTTAATTACACAACAGTATTGGCCTTGCCAAGAAAACATTTGAGAGCAACCTTTTTGGTATTCATGTTGCAGAATATACTACATTGCAGATCATTTGGCTGAGACACGCTTGACAACTTCTAAAGTTTTGTAGCAGCAGCAGGCACATTGATATATTTTATCGCAATGCACCGATACAATATTAAGAGCAGCATAATAAATAAAGTGAAATGGATGTTTCCAGCTGAAAATCACATGACTAGGTAAAATAATTATATTCAAGCGGATCTTAATGATCGTGATTGCGAGGATATCGCTAATGTACATGCATTTCAGATTTGGCCAAATTTAGACCAGTTTGCAGTCACAACCACTTATACAGGCAGTGGTTTTGGAAATTGGTGGATGACAATACTTGCACATGGTCTTTTGATATGAGCACATGTTACGCATGTTAACAGGATGTCTAATTTATTCCTGACGAATGAATATTGCCTATACAATTTAAAATGCAAAACCAGCATACATTATAATTGTACATAAGTGGCACTTTCGGAATCGTAAATCTGATACACGTTAATTGCAAAGACAGGTTTCTTACATTTCAGATTCTCATCCAATGCCATGGCATATCCAACATCACAGAGTTTGATCTGTTTGAAATCCTCCATGATCACAATGTTTGCAGATTTGATATCTGCATGGAGCAGCATCTTTTCTTTGTGTAAATACTGAAATACAAAACAACATGAAAAGTACATCTAGTTTCAAAAGGGAGAATAATGGGGACGTCACAAACATATCCCCTCGCCTTCAAATTCTGCCTAGATGTTGCGAAACTTTACCATAACATCACGAGCGTTTTTATGACCCGTATGGCACAAATCTCTCCACGTGGGTAGAAGAGACCCTGGAGGGTGCGAAACCTGGCACAGTCAAGAGACATCAACATGCCCTGCTCCAGACCTTTAACATCATAGCCAGGAAGACTATACTGGTCAACTGGAAGGATCATGAGCCCCCTTCATGGAGACAATTGCACAGTACACTCCAAGCGCATGTGGGCATGGTGTACTTAAGTCATAAGCTTAAAGGAAAGGAGTAGGAGTTTGAAGCCAGGTGGTCCCCTTTTATACAGTTTGGAATGATCTGGTTGGAATAGGAGCCCTCGGAGTCAGGTACTGGAAAAAATGGGTATAGCCCCTCAGTGGTAAAGCGGGAGCGAAACTCGAACGGTGGCAGGTCAGGATAAAGACTCATTAGCCATGCATGTTATTTGATTTTCAGGGTTTTCTGTCCCCCCCTCCCTTTCACCCCCCCACCCACCCTCTCTTACCTTCCCCACCATCCCACCTCTCCCCAAGGCATCCCTTATTAGGTCGATTATATCCCCCCTCTACTCCCCATTTAAATGTTCATATTCTCCCCGACACGGTTTCTTCACTTGGTTGAGGCAACAGGCCCCTTTCCCCATATTTTACCCCCTTCCTCCAGTTGCCTCGGGACCGTGTTTCGTGAATTACGATACCCGCTCACGAGAGCTGCGTGGCATGCTGTATTGAGCTCGCGTTTTGTTATAGAAAAGGGAACAACAAAAAATGCAAAACAAGGATAAATTATCAGTAATGTGCAGTACCTAATAGTAATATATTATTTCGCTATATCAGGCAATATAGTCCTCAGATTACTGCATCTTTTCACAGTATCTTATTATCCGTGTTTCGTACGAAAATCCTGAAATCCTTCACTTTTTGTGAAGTTCGTGTCAGTTTGACATAAAGTAGACCCTTATTATTCGAGGGTTTTTTTTTTGCGCGGTTTTGCATACAGTATTTGCAAAAAATGTATTGGAGTGCAATTTGAAATTCGAAGGCCATAGCACGCTCCGAACCGACAAAAAAGTCCTAAGGCATGGACGCGGTGTAGATCGTGAGAGGGCGGAAGTTGTCCATGTAACACTCCCCCTCAGTCTGCCACTGTCTACTGCAACGTTTACACGCGAGTGCTTTCCTTTACAATTCTTTGGAATTTGGACTGTATAATATTCATTTGTTTATATTTGCAAATGTAAATGTTTGTTAATCATTATTAAAGAGAAGTTATAGAAAAAATAACACTATACAATGCATGTATTTATGAATATACAGTAAACCCTCAAGGGTTACGTTCTTGAAAACGTTCGCGAATGCTGAATTCGCAAATGCAGAAACCTTGTTCCAACGGGAAAAATGTTGTTGGGGGGGACATGGTAAATGTTTAAAAACAATTACTACTATAAATAAATAACACATTATTGAAAACAATGTTTTGTATTCGCGTTCTTTTTAACGTACCTCAGAGTCGACTTGCTCATGCCAAAATGTAAAATTCGTATAAAGTAAAAATGCACAATAGAGAATTCAGAGCGGGATTACTGTGAGACTGAGGACCAAGTCGGCAGCCCAGCAAGCATGCCGAATCTTCGCAGGCAGTTTCAAATGTAAAATTATGCGCACACCTCCCCAGTGTTGGTCTGATACGTTGGCTCCCAAATACTGGAGTTGGGCGGGTCGCGAATTTGTATTCTTTTAGAAACTCGCGAATATGTGAAACGCGCTAATCAAGAACTTGCGCATTGCGAGGGTTTAGTTGAATGTATACACAGCTTGTTTTAACATAATACATGTTTCTGCCCGCTAACCCTATTTTTCTCATCAGCTTTAAGTATTAATATTCACAGATTGAATATACGTGCCTTTCTCCAGGAATATATCCCCCGCGAATCTATATTAAAGATTTACTGTACAGTACCTGGAGCCCTTTGGCAACCTCGAGTGCTGTTTTGAGAATGACAGATGCTGGGAAAGGTCCCAGATCATTATCAAGTCGCTCTTCAATAATATCAAAGAGGGACTTCTCACCCCCGTATTCCATGACAAGGGCTAGACCACCATCATTTGTCTGAGCCATGGCTCTGTAACCTGAGGAATGGACGGCAAATAATTCACCATGAAACAAAACAAGGCCTTGCAACGACAAAAGCAAAAAGTTTCAACTGCGTTGTTTCCTTTTCTCAGTCCCAAAGTAATAATATAATTTACAGTGGTGCTTTTTAAGTTTCCCAAATCACCATGAATACAATTATATGACGATAATCTGTAAAGTTAGTATATATCAAAAATATATAAAAATGCAGGTGTCAAATGTTAAGGCTGGCAAAAAAAATCCATTACTTGGCAAAAATTTCGTGTGCAGCCCTTTGTCAATAAACTACTGGATAAAAGGTTTCCCACCCCGTACAAGTCCTCGGGGTTAGTTTACAACAATTCACCAAGTCGGTCAATGTGGATTGGTTAAGGTGGGGAGGATAGACGTGGGAGCATAAAAGTCCAGTAAAGGTATGCCTCGATGTATGAACGTTCGGTTCATGTAATTTCGCGTTAACGCAATTGACAAATTATGGACACTTTTCAATTAACGAATTCGAATTTCCACGTTGATGAAATTTCCCACGGCACGCGCCATGAGATCCCTACAGTGCAACAATAACGCTTCCACATCTTTCCAGGCATTCCAACATGCAGATCTTTTGAAAAAGTTAATAATTTTTGTTTTAATTTAATTATCATTCAATCGTGTTAATATTTATTGTTATTTTTCAATTTAGAAAAGTGATCAAGGTGTATATTTAAAGTTTCGAAGTAAAGTTGGAATGACTGTCCGAAACACATTCCGAATGTTTAGTATTAAATTAGTGGGAAAAGCAATTTAGACTTAAAAAACATGCATACAATAATTTTTTTGTAAGTAAAATAAATTTAGCGATACCTGTACGGATTTTTTTAAAGTAATAGTTACATTAGAAAACGGAAAGAGGTGACAGTTGTTTCACACACCAACAATGTTCGGGTGGCTTAGATTCTGCAGGAGTTTGGCCTCTTCTTTCAGCCTCTTCTGATATTCTTCTTGTATGCCACTCTTACACAGTGAATTTATCTTCTTGACGGCCCACGGGGAACGACAGACACCTCGCGGAGAGCTGCCATCATCACAAAAGATTATTATAATCCATATCACCATTGTTATTAAGCTAAAAGGTGTGTCAAACTTCACAATTACAAACTTATAAAAATGAATTATGCCCTGTACAGGCTAAGCAAAATATGGTAGCCTAACCTCTGGATGACAGGTAATTACTTTCTAATGTTGATACATTTTTCCCAAATATAGTCAACAGAGTTGAAATATAAATATTTTAATCTTTACAGTGTATACATTTTACAAGCTAAGAATTTGGTTAAAGTACACTAAAACTTGTTTGTATAAAAACGGCACTAAATCTTGAAGTTGGTCACAATACCCAGAAGCATGTCATACCACCATACCTGGTACACAGCTCCACAAATCTGGATACCCCTACCTGTCCAACATCCAAGTTATTATACTCTTGGGTCCTTCGATCAAGTTAATTTATTTACGTGACTTGACCAAAAGACCCAAGTGTATGAATTCCTGCAGTAACGAGAGCTTTAAATCAAGATCCAAGTTATTCTAATACGTATTATGTACGTATGTTGAAAGTCATACATATAACAAAATAATACAATTATACGACTTATTCAAGTCCAGAATGATCGAGTTCTACATGAGTAGACTCATTAATTTCAAATAAACCACATGTTTTGAAGTTAGAAAAATATTGAGAAACGTTTAATCAAGCGATTATAAGAATCACAGTAAAACAGGAAAAAAACAGCAGGAGCCAAACTATATATTCTATGTGTACAATTGATGACAAAATATATCCCTGGACCATTCTGACACAGAGGGTGTGCAGCTGTGATATTTCTGAAGGAATTATTTATCTCATTCAATTATAACACAAATTGAATATTTTGCGAAAATAGCAAAAAATTGGAAGTAAATAACTAAATACATTAACACATATGAAACCTTCAGTACTCACCGCTTCAAGAGGTACACATTTACACCTGTGCCATAGCCCAGTTTTTTCATAAATGGTGAAGGAGGGATCTCCATTGATGGTGCAGGTGTTCCCTTTCCTAAAATCACAACAGCAAGCAGCGTTACATCTGGTTCATACAGTCAATTAAAACACTCTCCTTGTATATTTATTTAGGATGAGTCTATTTAGGATGAGTCGAATTTAAATGAACAAGGGCAGAGGTCAACCCTCTACTTTGGGTTCCAATGCAAAATTAATCAAATTGCACTGCCATTCGGGCATTTTTACATGGGAGGAAAGAAAACGTGAATAACGGCTGTTAACACAGCAAGTGTGTTTACCTCTCAAGTGAATGCAAATTTACGACAAATTAATGAAGCTGCTGGCTATATGCCACACTTCCCCTGTAATCTGCGACACACTTCACATTGGCGAGAACATTTGGTACAACCTCCGCGGTGCACCGTGGATTACCGGATCTGCAATATGGCATCTCCCCCCCTCCTCCCAAAAAACGAATGCTGCTCAATTACAGAAAACCCACATGTTTCTCTGCCTGTACAATTTGTATGGAAAACCCAGTGAGCACAACGGCAACCCTGACTTCACCTGTAACCTGCAAGGACTTCACACGCGGATTCTTCGGGGTATGAAACAACACCTCCATGCCAGGAGATTCTGCACCACTATTCACAACGAAAACAACAAGCGGGTATTATTAATACGTGAATAGTCGTGTCTCGCTTAACGGGCGTTCTTTCTACGAGAATGCGCACTGATGAGCAATTTGAATTTAGACCAATCTGTTCGCAAAACGAGAGAAATGTTCACATAGCGAGCGATGACCGATCGATCGGCAGGGGGCGCAAGGCAGCCCGCAGCTGTTTGTTTACGAGCTCTCCTATGCCGAGTGCGCACGTGTTTCATAGTCTGAGGGCAGGTACTGTACCTGTAAGCACTGTAGTTCTTCATGTGTGGCAAGTGTTATATATTTGATGTTTAATTACTTTAAAATAACAATTTGTATTTCTCACGTAAAAAAAATGTTCAAGAGTGGAACATTTTGGGGCCGAAACGTAGCTCAGTTTTGAACATGGGGGTCGATGAGAAAAGGATGATCGTTTGACGAGTTTTCGCTCGCCGAGAAATGTTCGCGTAACGTATCTCGCTCGTTAAGCGAGACACGCCTGTAACAGTGAACAAATATAATCGGCAGTGAATTAAAAACAGTATCAAGAGTGAGCAAGAATATCAACACTTCGTGAACAATAACAATTACTGAACAGCAATGCGTAAACGAGGAGGCAATTAGTAAACAATAACGAGTAAAAATCTTGACTTAAAGCTTTCGTGACTGCATGAATTAATATTCTTTAGGTCTTTCGGTAAAGTCAAGTAGATAGATATCTACGTGTCAAGACTTTCACGTAGATAGGTTCAAAAAAATTACAAAAACTCCGACGTTTCGATCGCAACAAGCGGTCGCCTTTGAACCCATCTACGTGACTTTACCGAAAGACCCAAGAATAATAACGAGTAAGTTTAACACGTCGGCTCTCGCGACCAATATGCATAATACAGGGGGGTTTCTTGAGTGGTGGCGGGTTTAAGGACACATTTATATTTACTCACCCCAAAAACCTGTATCATTACTAGCGAGTAAGTGACGACCTATAACCAACAATCACCCGCAACGCGCCCAATCTTTCAAGTGTTGAGTTTGAAGAGCGCCTGGATGTTCGGCCACCATGCACGAGGTTACATGGCACTCAGAACAGCAAATCTCACTCTTCTGCAACGTCCCTCGCCTTCTCCAACACCGCGCTGACCGACGTGGTGAAGTATGGTCAAAGGGTCCCAGCATGGAGTCTTTGCCCCCCGCCCCACGACGACCTACACGGCGTGGCGAAGCCCTCATCCAGCAGTGGATTGCCCCAAAGGCCGTGGTACATGGACATAAACACGAGCTACGGATGAGGAGTCCGTAACGATCGACATGTTATAGACGAGCAAGGACAATGAAGAAACAACAACACCGAGCAGACGCATCCAGTTCAACACGGAGGCTTTCGCGACCAATATCACCCATAACAGAGGGGGCTTTAGGGGTTAGATCGCGTAAATATAACCCCAAACCCACCCCTCTATTGTTGCAGACACATCCAAAGGGCATTTAGAATCGGGCGACACACTGCAGGCGACGTTCGCGCATCTCATTTCAATTTAATTTCGTTTATTTTGGTATCGCCCCGTGAGCCATGCGGGTGGGCAAATAGACGCGCGCCACTTACACGTGTCGGCGTATAGTTGTCGAACGTCGGCTGGTATTGCTGCGGCGGTAACCCGTAACGTTGGAGTTGTTGTTGTTTGCTGGTTGTTGTTGTTGTTTGCTGGTTGTTGTTGTTGTTGTTTGCTGGTTGTTGATATGTTGGCGACAAAGACCGCAGAGAGCGAGCGAGCGGCCGAACTCCCGCGCTTTTCGACGCCGCGCGTTGCACGACGGGAAAAGCCCGAGTCGGGCCGCTAAGTTTAATGTTTCGTTATTTTTTTTTAACTTTTTATTATTTTTATTCTAGTAATTTTAGCTGTTTCAAACGAGACGCGCGAGGGAGATGAATCACTCGATTAATCGCTCGATTAATCGATTTTTTTAAAATAAAATAAAAAAATCGATTTTGTGGATTGCGTAATGACGTCAGCACGTAACGTTCGCGCGGTTGGGACGACGTCGCGGGAATGACGTCATCGCGAAACGAGGTTGAATGGGGGCGGTGACGTCACCCAGCAGTGGATAGAACGTGGCTGTACACGACACGTGGTGTGTGGGGGGGGGTGTGGGGGGGGTGTGGGGGGGGGTGTGGGGGGGGTGTGGGGGGGGGAGTGGGAGGGGGGTGTGGGGGGGTGTGGGGGGGGGTGTAAGGGGGGTGTGGGGGGGTGTGGGGGGGGGTGTGGGTGGGGGTGGATGGGGGGGGGTGTGGGGGGGGGGGTGTGCGTGGGGGTGGATGGAAGGGGTGTGGGGGGGTGTGGGGGGGTGGGGGGGTGTGGGGGGGTGTGGGTGGGGGTGGATGGGGGGGTGTGGGAGGGGGGTGTGCGTGGGGGTGGATGGAAGGGGGTGTGGGGGGGTGTGTGGGGGGGGTGTGGGGGGTGTGGGGGGGTGTGGGGGGTGGGGGGGGTGGATGGGGGGGTGTGGGAGGGGGGTGTGGGGGGGGTGTGGGTGGGGGTGGGGTGGATGGGGGGTGTGTGGGTGGGGGGGGTGGGGGGTGAATCCAGGGTGATCAATCGAGCGTCGAGTTTGCCGCTCGCTCGCCAATCGACTGGCTCGGTGAGCGGCTGAGCTGGCCTGGCTCGCCCGGTTCCGCGTCCACGTGTTTTGTATTTTAACGTCAGCTGAGAATCTCTCTCCACTCGTAACAACGTCAAATACACACACACACACCCGTACACACAGGCGCACATTTATAGACGACACAGGCACAAACTAACGCCGTAAAAGCGGGACACGCCGTAGCCCGTCTTTCGTGATGGTGAAGAACAAGAACAAAGGTGCGTTTATAAAGTGGAGTTGTTGTCGTGCTGCTAGGCCTCTGTGCACCCTGCGATCCTTCTAGTGCAGCGACTGAAACACGCAATAGCGAACCACTGTTTTCTTTGAGTCGTTTAATATTTAAGTGTTTAAATGAAAGATTTATGCGTTGACATTTCAGCCCTACTTAGCCGAAGCTAACGTACACATTCCTGGTGATTTTGGTCATGATGTGCTTTTACATTTTGAATGATGCAACTCGAGTGTATTTAACTATCATTTTATATAGCGCCTTATGATAATTACCATCTCAAAGCACTTTAACAAGGTCGTAGCAATGCGAGTGAGGTACACCAATCAGCAACGTTACGGTAACAATAGAAACGCCTTGCCTACACATGTAGAAACTTAATTTAGTTTAGGAAAATAAGCGCCTAAACAATGCAGGTTGTTTATTTACGCTAGAGGCGATTTTAATCCTAATAAGGGACCTAGGAAGCCGGAAATACAGAATCTGAAAATGTATACTGGAGGAATCCGAAGAGCTCTAAAGCTCTTTATCACTGATGTCCCGTGGGGGCAGGTCAGAGCATCACAACAACAAACAATACAAAAACACAATAGGCGTGCAACGTCTAGCAAAAAGTAATCAAATCATTTCAATAATATATATGAAACAAAACTTGTATCTTACCAGGTAAAGCCCACAGCTATTAGCATCAATCTTAATTTTGGAGCTTTCGTGACTGCAGGAATTATTCTTTGGTTTTTTCGGTAAAGTCACGTATAAAATTTATTATTTTATTTTTATACGTGACTTTACCGAAAAAAACCAAAGAATAAGCTATTAGCATCTTTTACATTTCATAGATGACTAGAAAGGACATTGAGATCAGGGATATGTAATACAATGTTACGTGGGTAGTAGTGGAGAGAGAACACATGCGACTTTAAATTACACTTAAAGCCAAAGAGGGTAGTGGCCTCTAACAATTACTGGAAATGAGTTGCAGAGAAGAGGTGCGTTATAGCTGTATGAGCATCCCCCAAGTGTAGATCTTTTAGGGGATAAGAGGACCAAGCAAACCAGAATTAGAGGATTTTTTTTGTTCATGTTCAATGTAATAACTTGTCATCCTTGAATAGTCTTACAGTGATGTGATATTTTTCACCTTAAATATAAACCCAGAAACAGAAGCACAATTCACAATGTAGATGTCGTATCCTGTAAAACGCCACTGTGTGAGCTGTGTTCTGAGTTCAAACTCGGCGGAGTGTGTTGCTTACACAAATGCTGCGTGGAAATTTTGGTCTGGAAAGCCAATAGACTGATAGACTAAAATATAATGTAATCTTTGCCACTTTTCTGACAGGCGGTGGAGCGAGCCATGCAGAGCTCATGGTGATGACCATCACAGACATCATCAATCAACTACTGGAGGCACACGAGCACAAGAAGGATGTTAACCTAAACAGGTGAAGTACTGCAGCTTCATTTATAAGTTCGTGCACTAGAGGTCACATGAAAGAGATAACTCGTATGCTTCCGTGGGCCATTCTCTAATACAACGGGTTGCACTGCTTTGCAAGATATTAGAATATATATTTTTGTCTCATGACACATTGCTGATGACAAAGTCGGCATACAATTGCAGAAACATTAGTTGGTAAGGAAAAGCAACATAGTAATGTGCGTAAAGATGAAGCTTTTAACCAGTGAGTCTTGCCTGATTGGATGTGGACATGAACAAATACAATGAGACAAATTTTCTAGTGACAAAATAAGTGTTTGCTATGTACGCGTCCGATGTATACTGTGGAGACACTTGCAAACGAGATTGTCCATCTAGACGGACTGTTTACGTAACAGATTTTAATAAATAAAATAAAATGTGCATGTTACAGAGTCACAGCAGACAAGATGTAGATCCGTGAACAAGACAGAAACATAAAGCTATAATGGCCGGTGGTTGAGACTGACAATGGAGTGACGTCAAAGGAGGATGTCCAGTGAGGATTTGGAGTAATGACATCAGCTCATACTTAGGTGCAAGTTGGTTTGTTGCATTACAGAACCGTGAGGGAGTGCAACAGCTCAGAGAGGCCTTGATTCTGCAGTAAATGATTATGGCTGATGATTACGGTGATGAAAACATCTATATTTGGCCACATCTCAAGTTTCACACAATTTTGTGTTGGTCATTACCTGCACATTTACATGGGAGCACACGCATTGAAATGTTTTCGTTTTGCTCACACAGACTAAAGACGAAGGCGGCGGCCAAATATGGGCTTCCATCCCAGCCGAAGCTTGTCGACATCATCGCCGCAGTGCCGCCGCAGCACAGGAAAGTCCTCGTGCCCAAACTGAAGGCCAAACCCATCCGCACGGCCAGTGGGGTACGTGAGCAGGGCTCAACCACATTTCACAATGTGCCACCCACATTTAATTCTCTTTCTACATCGGTAGATCTCTGTCTTGCCTTTGCTTGCAGCAGTGCATTTGTCAATTCTTTCCCAGAGTCTCTTAAGTAGCCCAAGATGTGTGAAGACAGAGTTTACATTTTTTCAGTCGTGTTTTGTGGGAAATGTGATAAGCAAGTTGAGTTTTGTTAACGTTTCTCTGTTATCAGATTGCAGTGGTTGCAGTCATGTGCAAGCCACACAGGTGTCCGCACATCAACTTCACGGGAAACATCTGCGTGTGAGTGATCTGCACTGATTTTATCGCCCCCCCCCCCCCCCCCGTGTAATTTGAGATTGTTTGCTCCACGATTAATAGATTGTGTTGATTGTGGAGACCTTGCATGTGAATCACATGTTGGCAGATAGTCATATGTTGGTATAAAACGATTTAATGCTGATGGATTGCTCCATTTTAGTGGTAATGGTAAAATGCACCAAGCTTGAATGGCTATGCCAGCTTATACATTTACCCATTTATCTGTGTTTTTCCTCAGCTATTGCCCAGGAGGCCCAGACTCAGACTTTGAATATTCAACCCAGTCGTACACAGGCTATGAGGTAAGGTTGTTTGGAAGTAAACAAAATAATTAAATAGACTTAACCTGATTCAAACTAAGGTTGCATAGCAACTATGTCCGTTAGCAAACTCATAATTTAGTTTTCGTTGTCAAAAAGGCCTATATGCAATAACATTTTAAGCAAACTTTAACTTGTATTGCCTTTCAGTGTTTTTATTTATCCAGGAAAGCATAACATCTGAATAATCATTTTCAGGGGAGACCTGCATTGGGATTTTTGGCCAATTCTATTAAATATATCAGCATGTGGGGGGAAACATGAGTTCCCAGAGAAAATGGAAAATAATATTCAATCTCCACACAGATATATTCAATAAATCTTTGACTGTACGGTTATATAGCCTGCCCACCTCAAAATAAAAGCCAATAACACCTAGTAACCCCAGGCAGCCCCCCATCCAAGTACTAACCAGATTTAACCATACCTAGTCTGTAACACTTTGAGGTTGATTTGATAAGACACAACCTCGGTTCTAAAAGCTAAACATTTGTATTTACTTCCTCCAGCCGACATCCATGAGGGCCATCAGAGCTCGCTACGACCCTTACTTGCAGACCCGCCACCGTGTGGACCAGGTGAGGCATTTGGTTCCTTAAATCATTGATTTTGAATTGCACCAGCTGATAGTGCACAACTTTCATCTAAAATCGGTATTAAATTTACTTTAAAACATTTAGTTATACACTAAAATTCATTAACCTTAAAATACCTCTTTACTGTATGCGAAAATAGTGGCACTAATCACTGAATGGGGAAACTTGTATCGTATGTTGGATTAAAGGTGGAGTTTTTTCAGATATAAACTTGTTAGTTGAAAATAATTAAAACATTTATAGTTATTATGATGAATATTATTGTACCCTCTTTTCATGTAAAAATGTATGTAATTTTGCTGTCTTACCCGGTCCTATGGAAATGTAAGGCTCAAAAATGTCTCGCTTTAAT